GGCATCTAGAGACGTTTAACAGATAAGGAAGGCAGATTCGGATTTAGCGTTCAATGCTCTACAAAGTGATATAGGTCTTATGTAGAAAGGCCGCAAAGGCGACTTCGAATAAGACTTGTCAGCTATTTATTTGCATTGGGTTAATTCCATGTGTTTGGTACAATGCCCAGTAGGAATTCTACCCTTTCAGCACTTTTAGGCATTCAATCGTTTCGCACAAGCGCAATGTGGTCGGTTTGTTACTGAAAACGTCGTGACAAGGCTCAGTTGAGAACATTTGTGTAAAAGCAGGAAATTGCCTTTGACAAGAAATTGTGCGACATCCACCTCTCTGTTGCTGTCAAAGTCGTCAATTATCGATGACCGCAATTCAAAATTCATTTCACGAGATCAATTTCGGAAGATTAATTTTTAATATCACTATGCTGTTGATGAACCTGCTGCAAAATTTAATCTGCTATAAGCTCCTGAAACTCACCCTTCTGTACGTTGGCGACTTTTTCGCATCAAGGACTCGATAACAAAACTCTCGCCCTTCATCGTAATGAGAAGGACATGGAGATTCGCACTGATCTCTTTGCACTGAAACTAGATGCTCTGTAAAGTGTTGCATTATCATTAGCAGTTTTGGTTGTACCTAATTCAGTGGTCCATTTTTCCGTGGTTGTACCTTCCATCGAAAGTGTTGCCTTAGCGCGTGGAGGTGTTGAGAAAATCGAAGTTTCTGCTATCTTTGGGAGAGTTGATAGAGATACATTATCAATTTGTTCAAAGTGTTCCGTGGGGTAGCTACTAGTCCTCAACACTGCTGTGGTTGTCTGAAACTTTCGTGATAGGTTCGCTGAGCTTTGCAGAAACTGGGAAATTGTATTTAGTCCGCTCGTGAATAGTTCCCGTAAAAAGGAACGGGTTGTCTCCTCGGTGGAGACTAGAATAGTGTTTTCTGCAGGAGGCGTAAAGTATTTACGTCCTTTGACTGTTGTTGAAAGGTTAATCCCAGAATAAGAAGATGACGTGTAATCATTTCGAGTCTTTAAATATGTAATTGAAAGCCAAGGCAATGCTGTGGTGAGAGAACTGGGTTTTCCTGACAGTCCTGTCAAATTGAGAGCAGAAGTGATGGTTCTTGGGAAGGGCGTCGATGAAGAATGTTTATCATCTGTTATGGAAGAGCTTGTTGTAATAAAGCTGGTTTGCACAGCAGAACTGGAAGGAGGACTCGTGTCTTCCTGTGTTTGCGAAGATGAAGTAGCATCGTTTGTTTTGCTTGTGCCAGTTAGAAAGAACCCACTTGAAAGCCTCGAAGTGGGTAACCTTGACTTCATTAACTTCGTTGTATGGACGGCTGTGTATGGATCTTTTCTGTCCACCTCCTTGGAATCCGTGAAATCCGTCATAGGTGACACCACCTTAGTTCTTTTGCTTGAAACTACGCTTTTATATGCTGTAAACAAAGTTGACCTTTCATTGGTCCTGTAGGTGCTGAGTGAAGCTGAACTGCCAGGCATTTCGGTCGTTGAAGATAAATCGCTTTGTAATGCAGAAGTGGATTTGAT